GCCGGCCGCGCGCCCGGCGCCGGCTGGAAGGGGAGGTTTTGATTCCAACACTCTGGAGGTAGATGCCAGCCCCGCAAGCCCTTAGGGCGCGGCAGCCGCCGCCAGAGCCCGGCTGCTTCCAGTTTCTTCCTCTCGCCAGTTGGGGCGACGAGGATGTGGTAAAAACTAAAAGGCCTGGCGGGAGGGTGGTTACCGCTGGAGGGGGCTTGGCACGGTTCGTGTTCCGTGTCCGCGCGTGGTAGCCTCGTGTTTTGCTTCTTAGCTTACGGATGCATGCAAATATGTGTAAATACATATTTTTAAAGAGAAAAGAAAAAAAGGGGGGGGTTGTTTGCCAGAGGACAATTGGGTGGGCCGCAAGGGGCATGGGGTGCGCTGAAAGACTAGGGCGAAGGGAGGGGGGCCAGGCACCCCCGCCGCCTGTGACAGACCCGCGCTCTGAACGGACGCCCGCAGCCCAATAAAAGGCTGAGTTGAGGGAAAGACTTGATACCACATCGCGGAACAGACCTTGAGCACTTTCTTGCAAAATACTTGCAAGCACCTGCTTTTGCCTTTGACTTAAAGGTCTGTCACCTGGTTTGTTCATCAGTGGTGAAGATTCGCCTATTTCAGCTTCCCCAGGAGGTATTTGGAAACATTGCCTTTCTGAATTAACCTTGCTGTCCACACAAAGCCGTGATGAACAAAAGCAGTTATTTCACTAACAAAATGGGCATATTCCGAAACAACAAAAAGTTTGGGAAGTGCGGTCTTGTGGGACTCTTGATGGAACAAAGCTAACACCCACTTAAATAGCTTTTGGAGGAGATAATGCTGGGAAATGGGGGACCTCCTGGCTGAGGTGGGGAAGCAAGATCATTTATCAGAGCTGCAAGGCCTTACAGCCTGTAACTGACTGGGCATGCATGGGAACTCCTAGCATCTTGACCTCATTTAAAAAGGTTTCTGGGGCCCTCTCTGGTGGCACAGCGGGTTAAAGCACAGCACTAAGAGCTAAAGCCACTTCAGCTCCAGTTCCATCCCCGGCCCATGGGGGGGGGTGACCCACATGACTCACCAGACCTCTCCTGACCCACCCTCTGCTCCCTTCAGCAGTGTACTTCATCGATCTGCCTGTTGTGTTCCCCACTCTGTCTCTGGTGAATCCTCTCACCATCTCTGCACCTCTGGACTGTACCCCAGTTCTGTATACATAAATAAATCTTTAATAATAATAAAAAAAGGTTTCTGTAGGGCCCTCCATGGTGGTGCAGCAGGTTAAAGAGCAGCATTATCAAACTAGCTCCAACGAACGACTGAAGCACAAGTTCAATCCCCAGCCGGGCAGCTGACCTGCACAACATGGCAGACCTCTCCTGACCCACCCGTTGATCCCCTCAGCACTGTATTTCAGTCTATTTGCCTGTTCTGCTCCCCATACTGTCTCTGGCAAATCATCTCACACCCCCACATCTCTGGCCTGCACCCCAGTTCTTGTATGCATAAATTTTTTTTTAAAGTTTTCTGTATATTAATTTCACACATACCCACACAAACAACCTGGGTTGTAGGTTGAGCTGCTATTTGTTGCCAAAACAAATGTAGTCAACTCAGGCAAATCTGACATGTCACACCCTGTTTAGAGTGCTGGCGAAGCAAGTCATATTAACATGTTAGTTTCCAAATCAAGTGTTAGGAAAAACTTAAGGCACAAGTTCAAGTACTCTAAGAGTGAGTGCCCTGGAAAGGGATTTAGAGCTCTACTTTTGCTGCTTTGCTCATCTGTGAAAATTAGTATATTACCACTTATCTCATAGGACTTTGGTGAAGACTAAGATAATCTATATGGAAGCATCCAGAACAGTAAATTATCAGCGTTTTTCCTGCAAAAAGTTTTCACCTATAGAGGTGAAACATGGATGTACGTCAACTTCTATCTTATACTGGAGTGTCAGGCTCTGAGAAACAGGATGCCATTTTCAAACAGTTTATTTTAGACACAGAATTTCCCATATTCGTTGTCTGAAGCACCCCAGAGTCCCGACTACTCTTCCCATCCAAACACATCACTACAAGTGATTCTCGTATGTAACTTAGCAGCTTATCACCTGACACTGACGGGGCTGTAAGTATATCAGATGCGTGGAGGGAAGGACCTCTCCTGTCTCCCAGCTGCTCCCCTCAGCAGTGGATTTCAGTGGATCCACCTGTTCTGCTCCTCACTCTGTCTCTCGCCCCCTGCACCTCTGGCCTGGACCCCAGTTTTGTAAGCATAAACAAATCTTTTTTAAGAAGTGTTCCAGCGGCCCCATCTGTGAATCTGTTAGAGCAACACTAGCCAACTTATGTATGTTCGAGGTGTTGTGATTGGGGCTGGGTTGGGACCCAGCTGGAGCCAAGTTTTAGAACCTTCCACCCAGCGCTCCTGCTGTGGCTGGGAATCGGTGAGCTGCTAAATGCCAGGAGCCCAGCACATTTGAGCCTTCTGGAAACCCCTTAGGCTTGACCACACAGCCTGTAGCCCCAACAGGAGGGAAAGCAAGATACAGGAGACAGGGTGGGAGAGTCTGGAAACTCTAAGAAGGGCGCTAAGGTCCAGCTCTCCCGGGTGTCTGCTGTTGATTCCTGCAAGTGCTCACTGGAGCCTCGGCTGCAGCGCCTGTTGGGACTGAACTAGTGATGGTGCCAGGCACCATCGTGAGCAGGTGCCAGACAGGGACTCCATTCCCTCTGGCCCCAAGTCCTGATGACACTTTCATCTACAAGCGTGGTGAGTGCAGATAAACTTGACCTCTCCCAGGGAACTGGTGGCCAAGAACAAAACGTTCTCTCTGCTTCCTCTCCCACTAGCCTGGGGACAGTGGGGCAACAAGGAAGGAGACCTGCTCTCTGAATCGGGGAGAGAAGCCAGCTGGAGCGGCAGGACCCCCACGCGAGCTTCTTAACGCTAGAAGAAGTAGGTGTCACATAGCGTCACTGACATGGGGGGGTCATTTTTTCACAGCAGCCGATGTTGAGTGATACAAAGACCCTCAAGTTTCAAAGCAAGCACTGTAAGCTACACTACAGACACAGTCCCCACTCCTGGGGCCAGTGACACTCTTCCCCAGGCTGGTCCCTGCAGCAGATAATGGCTTCGAGTGCGTTCTCCAGCAGATGCAGCCTCATGTCCCTTATAGGTGTTCATATCATTTAGTCCTCCACACAGGTCTGTGAATTTACAGCTGTCACTTTCTGCCCAGTTTTAAATGCAAAACCGGCACATGGGAAGTTCAAAGCGAGGTTTTGGCCCTGGCATCCCGGCCTGGGCCTGTGTTCCTCTTCTCCCGCTGCTCGGCTGCCGCAGAGGTAGAAGGCCAGATTTAGGAGAAGGAAGCCTTGGACACCGCCCTGCCTCTCCATCTCGCCTTCCTCCCTCACTGGTGGACCCAAGCAAACTGCTCTAGTAAGAAGCAGAAGCCAGGCCCTGCCAGTGGCCCAACGGACTAAAAGCACAGCGGTAGGAAGTAGCTCCAGCCACTTCAGCACTAGTTCGATCCCCGCCCCAGAGGTGACCCACAGGGCACGGCAGACCTCTCCTGTCTCACCCGCTGCTCCCCTCAGCAGTGCACTTCGTCAATTGGCCTGTTCTGCTCCCCACTCTGTCTCTGGTGATTCCTCTCACTACCCCTGCACCTCTGGCCTGTACCCCAGTTCTATATGCATAAATAAATAAATCTTAAAAAAAAAAAGTAAAAGAGGCCGTCCCTGGTGGCGCAGTGGGTTAAAGCACAGCACTGAGAATCTGAAGCCACTTCCGCATGAGTTGGATCCCCGCCTGCCCC